AGCAACAGCAACGACAACAACAGTTGCAAATTATGATGGATCCTCTTCAACTACTCCAAACAAATGCAATCCTTCTTTATTCAGGAAGAATACTAGATCAAAGCCTGCGTGGCTTATCTAAGCCATTCCCAGCAAGGCTAAAGGCCTTAGATCTAGGAACTCCTATGCTTAAAGTGACCCCCCAACCATCGTGATTTATATCAGCCCAGTGTACAAACCAGGGCCAAACAGTCGCACAAACGGGGTAGACAATACTAAATTACGTACTGAAAAAATAAGATTCAGTCTTGGCACTACTAAATGTTGAGTACTGGGAACCCAAAATGATTCAGCATAGTCAAGTTTAATTTAGTATTGGCAGTTATTAAATCAAGTATTGGCAAGCCCACGTCCAACCCAGAACCCCGCGAATTTCCTCTAAGGGTCACCATGACTGTTTGCACTAATCAGGAGAAAAAGCCATCGAATCATAGCAGAATATCCTCAACAAGCTGAATTAATCAAGTCGTGGGTGGAATGTTCGCGGGGCTAACTGATCTAGAAGAGCTTCCAACATGTGCCAGCATGAACCAGCGGCGCAGCTTGCGCTCTTTGGCAGCGCTCCTTTGCAGCAACTGGGAACATGGACAAGTGCCTGTAGGATCCTGGCCCAGGCGTCTGCAAAGGTTCCTTGCACTGATTTGTGCGGTGAGTGCCAGATCCGTAGATGACATTCGCCGCAGAAATCATGTCCTGCCAGGAAGATTACTGGGGGCATAGGCGTCTGGTAAATGGAGCAGCATCCATCTAAACCAGTGCCATCTATTTCTAAGCAAAAGGAACCTGAAAAGGGCACCTATGACTGGGGTTTCCTGAAGGTGACATATAAGCATCCAGCAAGAAGGCAAGACCTGCTCCACAGACCTCAAGCCTGCCTCCGCCGAGCGCTCTCATGCCTGAAAGCCCTAAAAAAAGAGGCCCTGCCGTGATGCAGGAATAACATTTCGAAAAGCAGGGCTCGGCTTTGGTACTTTTTTCATGCTGACATAATCCGGTAGCCGTGCATGACAGCTCGGAGGCAAAGAAGCAGCATAACAAACATGTTAACATCACTCAATCAAGACTGGCCATTCTACCTGCCATCTAGCATGCTCAGCAACAACTAGCTCGCTTTACTCCAGGCTCTTGCTTCTGTGAGCAAGCAGCCCAGGAAAGGCACTTTGCAAGAAACTCAAGTGGCAGACTGAAGACACAAGTAAACCTTCTCATCTCCATTGCTTGGCGCAACTGAAGTGCACAACATGAAAACAAAGCCTCGTGTTCCTGTCTGACCACAGCTGATGTATGCTGCAATCAAGTTCCGTTTCTCCATGTGGTTGCATCTGAGATTGAAACATGCGGGGTGCATCCAGCCAGAGGCACAAGAACGGCATCGACATCGCAGCGGTTGCCACTCCTGAACATCCCCGCAGTTCCCACGGGGGGTCCGCGTCCGTGGCGCGTAGATGCGCGGCATGGAATCCGCACCGAGCCAACTCAACTGGCTGCGGGGGCAAATATCTGGAGAGGGGGGGGGGGTCAAAAGAGGCACGTGGTTGCTATTTATAGGCGTCCAACCGTCGGAGCTGTTGCAACGGGCTGTTACCCCTTTGAAGTCTTCCCGACCAAAACTGTGGCTCAGAGGCCTGGACAGCAACTTCTGAAACACAAGGCAAAGGCATCGCGCAAATGTGCTGCAACGCCGTTGCCCTGGAATAATATAGGAGCATCTTGGAATTGCTCTTCAGTTGAAATGGATGATTGAATGGGTATGCCCAGCAATCCACAAGTCGATCACATGCAAAGGAAATGACATCTTCCTGAGCATTCTAACGAAGCTCGCTTAATGATTGAGCCCACCGGCAAATATTGCATGGGCTGAAATAAGTCGCACGTGAAACCATTGTACCTTTATATCCTAGTATCTGTTGGTATCGCATTCTTCCTCAGCCGGCTTACCATGTTTCGGGTGCTACCAGTTGTTAGGTGCGCTATAAAGCCATTGACGTGGCCACGTCACTAACACGCATTGGAGATTCAGGCTGCGGCGCACGGACTTGCTTCGCGTGTTGCGAAATCAGGTTCGGTCATCAGAAAGAGGAACGAGGAGTTGGTGTGAAGATAGCAAATCAAAGACAGGGCGGCGTGCTGCTGGGCAGCTGGGTGGATTTGGTAGGCATGAGTATCGGCCAGGTATCGACTGAACATCGGTTTGAGTATCAGTTCGGGGCCTGCCAGTTTCCTCTCCGGAACCTCGGTTTAGCAACAACTTTGCATAGCTTCTCGATAACACCGGGTGCAGCTCAGCAAAACCAAGACAGTTCAAACCAACTGTGTTTTCATAGCTTCTGGCTACGAAACAAGTTCAGGGACTGCTCCTTGCGTAGTGAAGCGGCGGGCTATATCTGCCAAGTTGAAGTCGAGGTCGGCAATAACCTGGATCCTACACGATGATGCAACCTACGAATCAACACTAGCGTCTTCCGAAACCAAAATCGCCCAGGGCCCGAACCAAAGCGTTGCCTGGCAGTACGTTGCAGGGCTGAAACCCGGTGAACCGTCTTGTGCCCAAGGCATCTTAGGAGGCCCCATCAAACATAAATGCCAAAACTCAGCCAGTTTGCCCCCCATATGTATATATACATCTACATACATGTACACGTTTATTTCATGCATGTGTCTATCTTTATCTGTGTAGAATATATATATATATATATAACGTGTGTGTATATATGTATATACATTATCATATTGTGATGTTGGAAAAGCTCTGCGTCACACCATGTCTCACGATACAAGCGAAATCGCAAGGATCAGGTTCAGTCACGGTATAGCTTCCCGTCAACTCATTCTTCCCAGAAACAGCAAGCAAAACAGCTCACTCTGAACCGCACAACTGTTCCTAAAGAAAGGCTACACGTTGAGACCATCATGTAGCTAATGCTTCCAGCCTCATCCTGCCCATCCAGCTGCCGAAGGCAGGGCATCCGCCCAGTTAAAACAAAAGCGCTTGCGCTGACCTAACTCGTTGCTTTGCAATGGCAACACAACCTGGGGATGCTTGGGGATAAATCCGTTCTGTTTGCATAGGCCAGTTGAGTCAGATAATGGCTGTGTCCCTCGCAAAACGTGTCCTATCAGTTTCTGTTAGGTTGCTACTGAGAAGCGGCAGGAATCGATGCCAAGTCTTCGTGGTTGGTTAACCGCTGCGAATTCGCATGCTCAGGATCTTGCATCTTCCCGTCCTAGGGCTGTGTCCTTGAGATTGGCTCAACATGGCTGCAGAATTTCTTTGTGTGAGAGTGCCACTGGACATGATTGTGAGCCCAAGCGTCACTGCACTAATCGTTCAACAACTGAAGAGCCAAAGTGCATGGCAGGCTGGGTTCCTTCAGGGGCGCATGCACCTCGCAAAATGCAGGCAGTGTGCAAACATCTGCCTGTTCTTCCCTACGTCAGCCAGAAATATGCGAGCCGCATGCACAAAGCCGAGCACCATCCGTCAATGATAGGTAGACAATGTCAGTAAAATCAGTATCTGCCTGAAATCTGCCCGCCAAAACCTGCCATCATGGACCGGGGCACGCCTGTGACTGGAGGTGCTGGGCCTGGAGCCAAGCTTCTGCCGAGATCTTCCGAGTCATGGCTCAGTTGTTCAATGCCCCTGGACAAAAAAGGGAACCCTTTTTTGGGAAGACCATTTTTAGAAGGGGCAGCCACCAAAAAAAGGGGAAAAAGGGTGCCACTGAACAACTAAGATGGCGATACTGGATATTGGACATCTTGGATTCTATACCTCCGATGCGATGAGTGCAGTCTAGGACGTCCATGATTCCATTCAAGAGTGAGAAGAGTGAGACCACTTTGTTGTCAAACTCATTCAGCAGGCAGGGACATGGATCTGTGCGGTCATGAGTTGTGGTCTCAGTGTCCTGCTTGAAAGGTGCTACGCATGTCCAAAAGCTCGAGATGTTGCACTCAAGCATGAAAACGATCTCATTCAAGCCACGAACACTGGCCTAGTCACAACAAGAATTCATAATCTGTCCTCGCCATTGAGACAACACCTGCGTACGCTTGACAGGAGTTGTCACTTTGCACAAGTTGCGATTGTACGGGAGTCTGGACAATATTTGAAGGGACACAAGCAGCCATGGTAAGTTGCAGGCCTTCCCTTCCGACTTGCAATCACGTGGACACCAACGCTCCCCCAGCCTTGAACTCTGCAGCCAGCATCTGCGTCTTGGAGTGCCGGGCCTGTTTGCCACGGCCCTCTGCTTCGGAGAGTCGCAGCTACGTGGGGCCAAACATCACGCGCCAGGCTTGGCTCCGTCTAAAACTGGGGGGGGGGGCAGGTGCCAACAACCCATCGCAGGTGGTGCCTCTTCCTCTTCCAAGCGTGTCGTCAACTCACCTGGCAGCCGGGTTGCGGCGATCATGGAAGGCCAAAGCAATCCACAGAGTGCCGCATAGAAGGGGTCCTTGGCACTGGTCAACACCAGACCCTCCGCGAGGGCTCTGGCGCTGGACTTTGAAGTGGCTCCATCCCCTGGAGTAAAACTTACTATTGCCAACACTCTTCAAACATGATTTCATGGCGGCCTCTGGCGAATGGTTGCACTGCACTGCCTATGCCGGTTCAACTTGACAGGCACTGAAGGTGTGCCTTCTGCTTTGCGCCTGGCAGCCCGCATCTCCTGCGCGACATATCCAAACATTTGTTCTGTATGGTGTGTCTGTGTATACATATATATATATATATTATACACGCATATCATGTAAATAGGTATACACACACACAAGTGCCTATGGGTAAATATCTGTAATATCTGTAGTATCTGTGGTATACACATGTTATACTATTCACACATCGTGTGTACATTGTACAGATCGAAAAAAACAGCCGCTTGACATGCCGCGCAACATATTGAGATGGAAGGCAAGACTTCAAAATCACACAGGTTCATCCCAACGCTATCTCGAAGCCATATTGCACTCTCGCGCAAAGACCACTCGACCAAGCATTGCAAACAAAGTGATTGCCAACACTGAACACCTGAAGGTCCGGAGGAGATGTCTTGCATTCTTGATGTAGCATCTCAGCCGCCCGAGCTGAGTTGCGCATCGTCCTCCATCTGGTTCTTGAGCCTGACCTTGACAAGGTTGGCACGGTGTGGAACTGCAACGCCAATCTGCTTGCGGCGTTGCACATTTGTTTATTTGCTGCGCTTGTTGCATGAGCCTCTCCATGCTTCAAGTTGAGCTTGCTCAGGACAGGGACGATTTAGCGGCGCACGGGTAATGGAGCTGTGATGATGAAGGTGTTATGGGCCCCGCCACCGAATGGATGTCGAGGAGCGGACGAAACCCTTTACTTGGCCTTAGTACTTTTTTTAACGTCATCGTTTTTGGGGGAGACCTCATCGTTTTACAGTGTTTTCGAACTTTGGCAGATCCGGCTCCAAAATCGCAACTTTCTAGCACAAGTCTAGTACGCGAAGTACACTTCCGCAGCTCCAGCTCGAAATTCGCAACTTTGTAGTACAAGTCTAGTACGCGAAGTACACTTCCGCAGCTCCAGCCCGAAAATTGCGAAATACAATTCCGCAGCTCCAGCTCGAAAAGCGAAACTTGGCAGGCAGTACAAGTCTAATACGCGAAGTACACTTCCGCATCTCCAGCTCGAAAATCGCAACTGTGCAGTACAAGTCTAGTACGCGAAGTACACTTCCGCATCTCCAGCTCAAAAATCACAACTTTGTCGTGCAAGTCTAGTACGCGAAGTACACTTCCGCAGCTCCAGCTCGAAAATCGCAACTTCGTAGTACAAGTCTAGTACGCGAAGTACACTTCCGCATCTCCAGCTCGAAAATCGCAACTTTGTAGTACAAGTCTAGTACGCGAAGTACACTTCCGCATCTCCAGCTCGAAAATCGCAACTTTGTAGTACAAGTCTAGTACGCGAAGTACACTTCCGCAGCTCCAGCTCGAAAATCGCAACTTTGTAGTACAAGTCTAGTACGCGAAGTACACTTCCGCATCTCCAGCTCGATCGCAACTTTGTAGTACAAGTCTAGTACACGAAGTACACTTCCGCATCTTCAGCTCGAAAATCGTAACTTTGTAGTACAAGTCTAGTACGCGAAGTACACTTCCGCAGCTCCAGCTCGAAAATCGCAACTTTGTAGTACAAGTCTAGTACGCGAAGTACACTTCCGCATCTCCAGCTCGAAAATCGCAACTTTGTAGTACAAGTCTAGTACGCGAAGTACACTTCCGCATCTCCAGCTCGAAAATCGCAACTTTGTAGTACAAGTCTAGTACGCGAAGTACACTTCCGCATCTCCAGCTCGAAATCGCAACTTTGTAGTACAAGTCTAGTACACGAAGTACACTTCCGCATCTTCAGCTCGAAAATCGTAACTTTGTAGTACAAGTCTAGTACGCGAAGTACACTTCCGCAGCTCCAGCTCGAAAATCGCAACTTTGTAGTACAAGTCTAGTACGCGAAGTACACTTCCGCATCTCCAGCTCGAAAATCGCAACTTTGTAGTACAAGTCTAGTACGCGAAGTACACTTCCGCATCTCCAGCTCGAAAATCGCAACTTTGTAGTACAAGTCTAGTACGCGAAGTACACTTCCGCAGCTCCAGCTCGAAAATCGCAACTTTGTAGTACAAGTCTAGTACGCGAAGTACACTTCCGCATCTCCAGCTCGAAATTCGCAACTTTGTAGTACAAGTCTAGTACGCGAAGTACACTTCCGCATCTTCAGATCGAAAATCGTAACTTTGTAGTACAAGTCTAGTACGCGAAGTACACTTCCGCATCTTCAGCTCGAAAATCGCAACTTTGTAATACAAGTCTAGTACGCGAAGTACACTTCCGCATCTCCAGCTCTCGCAACTTTGTAGTACAAGTCTAGTCGAAGTACACTTCCGCAGCTCGCAACTACAAGTCTAGTACGCGAAGTACACTTCCGCAAGCTCGAAAATAGTTTAGTAGTACAAGTCTCGCAACGCGAAGTACACTTCCGCAGCTCCAGCTCGAAAATCGCAACTTTGTAGTACAAGTCTAGTACGTACACTTCCGCACTTTCGCAACTTTAGTACAAGTCTAGTACACGAAGTACACTTCCGCATCTTCAGCTCGAAAATCGCAACTTTGTAATACAAGTCTAGTACGCGAAGTACACTTCCGCAGCTCCAGCTCGAAAATCGCAACTTTGAAGTACAAGTCTAGTACGCGAAGTACACTTCCGCATCTCCAGCTCGAAAATCGCAACTTTGTAGTACAAGTCTAGTACGCGAAGTACACTTCCGCAGCTCCAGCTCGAAAATCGCAACTTTGTAGTACAAGTCTAGTACGCGAAGTACACTTCCGCATCTCCAGCTCGAAAATCGCAACTTTGTAGTACAAGTCTAGTACGCGAAGTACACTTCCGCATCTCCAGCTCGAAATCGCAACTTTGTAGTACAAGTCTAGTACGCGAAGTACACTTCCGCATCTTCAGATCGAAAATCGTAACTTTGTAATACAAGTCTAGTACGCGAAGTACACTTCCGCATCTTCAGCTCGAAAATCGCAACTTTGTAGTACAAGTCTAGTACGCGAAGTACACTTCCGCATCTCCAGCTCGAAAATCGCAACTTTGTAGTACAAGTCTAGTACGCGAAGTACACTTCCGCATCTCCAGCTCGAAAATCGCAACTTTGTAGTACAAGTCTAGTACGCGAAGTACACTTCCGCAGCTCCAGCTCGAAAGTCGCAACTTTGCAGTACAAGTCTAGTACGCGAAGAACACTTCCGCAGCTCCAGCTCGAAAATCGCAACTTTGTAGTACAAGTCTAGTAAGCGAAGTACACTTCCGCATCTCCAGCTCGAAAATCGCAACTTTGTAGTGCAAGTCTAGTACGCGAAGTACACTTCCGCCTCTGCAGCTCGAAAATCGCAACTTTGTAGTACAAGTCTAGTACGCGAAGTACACTTCCGCAGCTCCAGCTCGAAATTCGCAACTTTGTAGTACAAGTCTAGTACGCGAAGAACACTTCCGCAGCTCCAGCTCGAAAATCGCAGCTTTGTAGTACAAGCCTAGGCTGTACGCGAAGTACACTTCCGCATCTCCAGCTCGAAAATCGCAACTTCTCAGTACAAGTGTCGTATTTACAGAGCCGTGTGTTCGTTAAGGGTCATCGTTTTTGGGGGAGACCTCATCGTTTTCCATGGTTTTGGGATGTGTTACTCAAAAGCGTGCCCCGTCTTGATAAAGTGGTCTACGCGTGTTTTGTCCGTGGCTCCAATGTGTATTGAGGACTCCCAAAAAATGGCGACTTCTCGTGGTGTCGCAGAAAAGGCCCGCTCAAAAAGGACACACTCATAAAATTTACGATTTCTCAATCAGGATCATTAAAACCGGCAGCCGGGCTACTGGCCAAGGCATGTCACAACTGCATTCCACTTCTGAGTTTTGGCTACTGATGGTCATCCCTTTGCTTCAGTCCCGTGGAAAATTGAAAAATATGTCCAGTAGTGATAGATTCCCTCTACAACAGGGGGACATAACAAGTCTTCTTAAGCAAATGGAAGTGGCTGATGGTTGCCGTCCCTGCCAGGTCGAAACTGTTCGCTCGCCGCGTCGCCCGCCTCCCTCTGGTCGGCCTCGCGCTCCCGCCGCGCAAGGGAGACGGCCTGGCCAAAACCCAAACCAAAAACATCGAGGAATGCACGGGCATGGATGGGGCGAGAGGGTTTTGGTGTCTTTTTCAGGGGACCCCCCCCCAAAAAAAAAGGCTGAGGTTCTCCTGGTTTCCTGTAAAACTACCCCAAAAAGGGTACCGGCGTAGCCGCAAAAAAAAAACACACACACACACCCATAGGGATGGACATGATTTACGCTTGATTTCCTTTTAAAACAAGTCCAAAAAGTAGAGTGTGCAACATACTGCGGATGGACAAAATCCGCTTCGTTCACAGGAAATCGGTGGTTTGCATCCCTCGTGCAGGATTTCGTCCATCCATGGTAGGCATTGGAAAGGCCAAAGGGACTGCATGGCTCAGTCTCTGGAGCCTCATATCCACAGTCTTGCAACCTAATAGGAGCGCTGCCTTTTTGTGTGTGGTGTCGCCTCATCATTTGGTGTTCCGCCACATGCCCACGTGCATGCACAACAAGACGCGGCCCAAGTCACTTGTCCGCAGCACGTCTCCTCCCGAAACCGCAACGATTGGAAGGTGATGCCGCCATCTGCATCAACGCAATGCCCCAACGCATCAAGCCTACGCCTACGCACGGCCTCTCGAGCCGCCGAATGCCTACGCACGCCTGCGCCGCCTTGAATGGGTGCTTCTGTATTGCTCAAACAGTGACGCTCACGCAGCGACAAACGTCTGCTTACACGGACACAGTTGGATCGAACTGGGCTTCTCTGAAGTCAGCGTCACTGTGAGCACCCTAAGCCTTCTGAGAAACGAAAATGGCCTCGTTGTACTCTCGATTAAGATCGGAGGGGGTCCCCATCACAAGCATCCTGCTCAATCAAAGCATCCAGGCCTTCTCCTTGAGCTCCTCTGCCTGATGCGCTAAGGAGCGAGCGACTGACTGACTGACTGATCAATCGACTAGTTGATTCATTGATTATTCATTCACTCGTTCAATCACTCACTGACTCACTGACTCACTGCCTCACTGACAGCGCAAAGGCCCCTGCGCTGTTCTGTTTGTTTCGTAAACTTGCCGACGTTTTGGGACATTCTGAACTCAACGACAACGAGACAGTTCTCACCTTATTGCAGGCGCGGCATGGTGATGCCAAACAATTGGAGACGTCCCTGCCGCTGCAACATCCTCATCAAGCATCGCTGCTCGGCATTGCCGGGGTGTGAACTGACATGTCCCGTTCGTCTCAACAAGCTGTTATTGTTGGAAGGTCTGAAACTAATTTTGCCGAAGCTTGTTGGAGAGCTTTCTGGCTACTTGTCGCAATCAGACCCAACAAACGGTCGCTTTGTTGGACATAGCACTGAATGTGAAGCTCAAGACTCACCATAGGAGCAAACACACATACTCAGCTTGCCAGCACCAAGCTCAACACAGGTCACAATCCCAATCCCCCACTTGTCTGGTCACACACGTTCTGTACTGGATTTCCTTGCCTTCCACGGAAATGGCTCCAATCCCTTCGAATCCGACGTTGAACCCCTCCGGGCCATCCGCTTCCTCTGCGATGTCGGGGAACTCCTGCGTGGCAAAAACGATCCAGACATAGGAAACGGGCATCGATCGGGCTGTGCTTTTCAGGAGACTCGGTGGGGTTTAATTTTGTCCTTTTACCACAGGCCACCCTCAAAAAGCACACGCCCATTTGAAAGCATGAACCAGTGCATTGAAATATCCCAAGCATGTGTTCTGTGCATCAATCTGGCGGCGGCCCTGGTTTTAGGAACTTGGCGATCCAAGCGATGCAATCTGAACTGTGAACGAGTTGCACTATTTGTGACCAGGTGCACAAGACAAGTGTGACTCCCTCCCACATCTCAAATGAGCACACACACACACACACATTGAATCAAAATCAATAATTGGTTCTGAGTCTTCCACTGCTTGACATCCGTGCACGTGTTCTCAAATTTGCTCGAGTGGCCACCCTTCTTGCAAAATAGCGCCTTCTATACCAACATGTCGGCGATGGCTACAATATGTCCAAAAACCTGAAATGAGGAACCCCCCAAGCAAAGGATCTTTCCCACGGTGAGCGGAAGAACGTGTCAAGGCTCATTCAGTGGCCCACTCCTCCTGGTACATGTGTCTGTCTGCTTGGGGAGCCCCTTGTTGGTTTGAAAGAGAAACCAAAAGGAAAACCAGCACTTTGGTCGGGTCCCCTAAAAAGGGACAAACCCACATTGGACAAGGACCACAGTGACCCCATTTTTGGGTTCTATCAACTCCCGACCAAACCAAACTGACCTAACAGACTGCCATCTGCTCACGCGCGGAATTCCGCACGCCTGCAGCTTCTCCAGGGCGGTGGTTTTGGCACGCTGCCGCGACCGCGACCGCTGCGGGAGATCCACCTCTTCCGAGCTGCGGCACGCCGAGCAAAACGAAACATCCACACGAGAGCCTCATTTTCCGACCGAAACCATCCCCAAAAGCACTCCTGACCACAGAAACACCGAAACAGGCGCTAAAAACACCCTACCCCATTTTCCGGTTTCCCTGTGCTTGCCTGCACACGAAAGGAGGTCGCAGGTGAAGTCGGCTGGGAAACGCAGTTGGAAACCGGCGCAAAGCGCAAACGGGTCTTTGGATTTGCTGTGGCTCCGGGATTTTGAGCCTCCGTGCGTTATGCGGGTTAAACCATGAGCCTACCTTTGAGCAGCCTCCGCCACGAGCGTCTTCACGTCATCCGGGACGGACCTGAACGAGCTGGCTATGGCTCAGATCAGCAAAGAGGCCACACAGATCACATGTGAATGCAGGCAAGAGTCAATGGTCTTGCTTCAGCCTCCAGTTCGAAGACTTGGGGATAGTCGCTGCCAGATCAAGAAGCAACATGTCTTGGCAGAACATTGGTGTGCGGAGGCCTTATACAGTCATCTTCAGGAAAACAGAGGGGAATACTCGGTTGTAGCATGATTTGCCATTCAATGTGTTGGCAGAGCTCAGATTTCTAAGTTGATTGAGCTACGGTCCCAAGCAAGCTGATCACGGCAACTCTTCAGCTGCATTGAGAACAAAGAACACAATCCCCCCTATCCGAGGGTGCGGCATCTGCAGCCGTTTCAGCAGCAGCTTCAGCTTCTCTTCAGTGATCTGCATTCCGACAATCCAGACAATCTACATTGTTCTTCCAGCCAGTTGAATAGCTGATTGAATGGTGGGGGCCTGAAAAAGAACTGAAAACACGTCAGGCAAATCCAACTAACTCGATTTATCCCGGATTTGACATCTACCAACGGGTTGCGCGCTTGCCTCTGCCACATGTTCCCGAGTGGTTTCGTCCAGGTAGTGGATCGGCTCGTAGAACCTTACGCCAACACGCACTTTTCCACAAGGCGCATCTCGTGTTGGAATCCTTCGATCAAAGTGAGCTTGTCATTTGCCCAGGGAGGCCAGCGCTTCAAAAGCTGCCAACCATCCACGATTGAGGAGACACTCAAAACACACACAGACACACAGACACATCATGAAAATTGGGTAGACCGGTGCTCTAACTGCTCTAATTTCTGCGGCAGAGTATTCAAACGCCAACGTAGGTCCGAGATACTTAATTACATGGGTATGAGTCATGAGCTTGGACTGGGGAGCCTCTGGACATCATTTGGGTGATTGTCCACTAACCACTTGGTCCCTGACTCAACCCCCTCTGCACGCCGAACTCCCGGCCCTGGCCAGAGACCTCCCAACACCCCGGTCATAGCCACATTGAGACTTACTGCGACCGGTTACAAAAAAGGGGGCAATGGTCAGAACTCTGGAGAGGGGCGCTCATGACTTCGCGGAAGACCAACAACTCCTGCGACTTCTGGATACCTTGTTTGAATTGGGAAGCCGATTTGCAGACCTCAGGTTGCCCAAAGAGGCCCCCACATGACCGGCTCCTCCTCCCAAATGAGGCGCCGCACCTGAGCCAGGCTCGGCGCTGCACGGTTTTAGGTTCATTTGGGCACAACCTGCTAAGCATATATTCAGATGCCCAGTGGATTTCCATGGGAAAAAAGGAAAACCATGGAAAACCCGTTTTCTGGATGGTTGACTTTGAAGGGGAACCTTCCCCAAAAAAGGGGGGAGATAGGGCATTACTCGGCAACTGAGTATAAAGTCTTGCGGCAGACTCTGGTTGACTTTTCAAACGCTTGAAGTGCTGAGAATGTCAGGTGAACCGTCGCGTCAACTGGGGCTGTCTTTTTTGATTTGCCCCTTTTTGGCGTGTCAAGGGAAAGCAAACAAAACCCACCCACTTTGCGGGTTCGATTATGTTGAGACTGTGATCTGATTCTTCGGAGTTTCTGCCCCAAAGGCCGTTCCTGAGATGTGCAGACTCGTTGACTTGCAACGTCCTGGGCCTTGAAGCAAAACCAGGCGTGTACTTCCGCCCATCTCAACTTTCACCAAACCCAACTGAACCAAAATCGTCGGGTTTATGGCCTTAACTATCACCCCCCAACCAGGGAGCAGAACCATCCAATGGCAGTTTTGGGCGCTCTTTGCTGAATTACCCTTCCTCCAACTATCATGACACCTGTGGAGAGCTGCCTGGAAGATTAACTTCCTTTTGAAGGGAGCCCCTGTCCGTTGCCATTGGGAGGGAGGGTAATCAGCCGAAGATCAATCCAGTTGCACTCCAACAAATAGTCTACAGCTTGAGACAATGAAGGTTATTGCGCTGTCGAACACAGAACCTAGTTGAGCCTGTTTTGGTCCATCTATTTTCAACCCAAGTAACCCTTCGAAGGACACCTATGCCCCTTCTACGTGTCTGTTTTTGAGGGAACCCTTCCTGGCATAGGTGTCCTTGTGGGAAAATAGATGGGACTGGTAAATGGAATACAACCCGTCTAAACCAGGGCCGTCTATTTCTACCCAAACCAACCTAAAAAAGACACCAATGCTTCTTGGCTTGCTTTTTAAAGGGAAGCCAAAGGAAAACCACTGGTTTGGGGGGCTCCATTTCGATTCAACCCCTGCCTCGGCGACTGCTAGGCTTTCAAAGTGCCGCAGCTTGTCCCGGTGTGCCGTGAGCTCCTGGCGAGGAAAGCCGGCGGAAACGGAGATTGGACCCCTCAAGCATGACTTCGGTTTTCCTGTTGGTTTTCCGTCCCCCCCCCAAAAAAAGACAGAAAGAAGAGAAAACAAAACACAAAACAAAACATAGCTGAAGACTCAAAAAATGACAGACCCATATACCGGCAGGTTGCTCTTCCTCCTGAAGGAGGAAGAGCAAAAGGTGAAATGCTTTGTAGGTTTCACCGAGAAGCCATTTGTTTCCGAAAGGACTGAGGGGCGAATGTCACACCAAAATTTAGCGATGATGCGTCTCAAAATAGGGACCCGCAAACATGGTGGTGTCCCATGGTTGTTTCTTTAAAAGAGCCCAAAAAGGGTACCCTCAACAAAAAGTACACCCATATTATAATATGACTATGTTGAATGAGGAGCAGATCGGTGGACATAAACGCATGTAACTGATGTCCACCAAAGGGTTCTCAAGTCAAACTACCTAAGTTCTGGAGGACCACGCCAACCAAAAGTGTCCCAAGGGTAATTTTGCCGTTGAACACCTGTTCACTCGATCAATCCGAAAAACCACTCTGCATGAAACTTTTCTGGATCGGAATTTCAAAGAACCGTTGCAGCTCAGATTGAGGCAATCAATTCTTTGGGGCCCTGCACAAGTGGTTGCATCCTAGACTTCATAAGCAGTAGCATGCAATCTTGTCAAATTCCGCCTGGCACAAGCAAGTGTTGCCAAGTTTCGGCAAAGAAGTCAGCAAACACCTCCTACAACTACGTCAGGCATTGCAGCGGTGCATTGGCCCGTGTTTTCCCCAGTGAGCTTTGCTGGCGACGCTGAGGCCCGCTGCCTTGGCTGAGATATCCAAGGTGGCATGATAGCTGGAATTGGGGACACTCAGGATACGCCCACACTGAGCAGTCCAACTACTGCATCTTGTTGAACAGCTAAAACAGTCCTTTGACTCACTCCCGCGCATCACTCTCTCCAAGAAAAATGTGTTGCTTTTTTTCCCCCATGCATGTATCTTTCAACCAAAGGGCCATCGACCCCTCTCGCCCAGATACAGTCTGCGGTCACGGCGGAGCTTGTCGCTGCTTGGTACGCCTTCGAGCACTGCCATGAGCTGCATGCCGTGGACCCCAGGAAGGCCCCAGAAAGCCCCAAAGGGCCCATGAGCATAGGCGTCCTTTTAGGGCAAATGGGTGATGATTAAACCACCAGGTAAACCAGGACCCTCTATTTTTCTACCGAAACAACCAAAAAGGACACGCATGCCCATGAGGTCAATGAGGACATTCCGAAGCTACAGATCTTGGCCATCCGGGCCAACCTAATCCATGCGAAAGCGCGGCCATTTGCAAGAAACAAGATGTGTGTCAGATACCAAGAACCCTAGGAATTATTCATATAGCTGGCCCTTATGCAAGGGGGCCCAACCCATCGGAAACTACCCGGTGAAACCCCTGGCATCCCCAAAAGTGTGTGTCGCTTTTTAGTGGACACATGTTCTTTTTCTTTCTGTTGTTCCTTTTACTCCTAGCCACGAAAAAAAGAGCTAAAAAACGAGCCACCCGCATAGACGGCCAATAGACTTGGGAGTCTTCCGCTTCACCCAGCTGGCCTCATGCTCTCGTAAAGCCGCTGGAAGAGCTGCGGCTCCCTCTCGCGGATCTGCTCCAGCCTCGGGTGGCTTGTCATTTTCTGAGGCTTTCTGCTGTGAAAGGACACAAACAACACCATGTCATGTCTATCCTCGTGGTTGTCCTTCACTTTTTGGTGGTACCCCTTTTGGGGCTGGTTTTGAAAGGGACACCTAAAGGAAATTAACATTTTTTGCAGGTTCCCCCCAAGAAAAGACGCACCCACAGATTGACCAATCCCCCTAGCAATAAACGGGTGGGTTTTGCCGCCTGTACAACATTGTGTTCAGCAGCCACTGTGACTAATGCGCACCAATCGATCGGGTCAGCTCAGCGCACAGCGGACAACTTCAAAGTAAGTTGTTCTAACTTGCCAGGAAGCAGGATGTTTGGACCCTCAGCTGGAAGCGAGCGCAAGAGGGCCAGCAAATCCTGACCCAGGGTCGTTGGTTGCTGAGATTGGATTTCCCAAAGCAAGAGGCTCACAGAAGCTTGAACAAAGCTCAATCAGAACTGGCATGTTAAGCTAGATGTCCAGAAAACCAAGCGCTGCCTGAACAAAATAAATGTCTGATATCAACTGACTCATATGTTTGCGTGCAAAGGTCACTTCAGAGATCTGCAGCCATTCTGTTCAGCTATTGCTAGGTTCACGAATTAGGAGTAAATCTTCGACCTCTGTGCGTTACAGCTGCAAGCCATCGTATCTGCTATTTGCTCAGGGATGCCCATTGCAGACAAGATGGAAAGAAGTGGCTATGGTGCTCTGTTGACGTCGATAGCTTTCCATCTCCATGCAAATAAGCTTTGATTTTAGTATTCAACCTTCCTCCGACCCTTCCACGAAGCTTCCAAGGCGTGGCCGTTGCTTCTGCGGGCATGTTTCTGTCACAACTGCTTCCACAAGTTTATGCGGGCAAATATGTTGGTTATTTTTGTTGATTTTGCAGACATAGTTTGGCTAATTGTTGGCCTCGTGTTATGTAACACAAAAACCTTCCCGAAGCTTCCGGAAGCGTACCCTTCCGCTAGCCTTCCGCGACTGCAGTCCCACGCGCATGCTGCAAGAATGTCCAAACACTCCTAGTTAAAAAAAAAAAAAAAAAAAGCCGGAGGAAAAAAAAAACAAAAAAAACGAGTCAAATAAGCCTGCCTTAAAATTCAATAAGTTTGAAGGTAACATGAGCCAAGCTGAATGCTTTAATTTCTTCCCTGCTGAACTGGCTGCGCGGTCCTCCACGGTCTGCGCAGTGTGCACGCCATTGCTCAGCCCTGCCATGTGCAAAGCTTGCTCATGAGGTGGCTTGTAGAAGGGGGTGGGTAAATTTAAAGGGTCGATCCTGCAACAAGCAAACTCGTCACGCGTGGCCTTCCTACACTAAGATTGAACCATTGAATGTAAAGATGTGTGAAGTGAAAGGTTTCTCAAGCAGGCTGGCACCAAGAAGATCCACGAATCCACCCGCAGTTTGGGCTTGTTTTGTCACAGCCACACTGGTGAATGGAGAAACACTTGGTGCCGGGTGCTGGGGTAGCATCGTATGCGAGTTCCACGCTGGCATCAACATGAGGGTGACTCGTCTGTTTATGGAGTTGGTACTTATTTTGTTGCGGGTACTGAAAGGAAAACTAAACAGAAACCACCGATTTGGGGGTCCCAACCTTAAAAGAGACAGACCCAGAAATGCCCAACGCCAGCAGGGGAATCATGAAATTAACGCAAGTGCACCACGCCAACACGCTTTTGATTATGCACAATGTGCAACACTTGATTGGCCCAATGCATACAGAACCATTATCGCAATCAGCTCCAAAGCATCGCAACTTGGAGAAAACAAGGCAAAACTGGGAAGTGCGGGATCCCGACAAAGAGAGTACAGGGTTCCAGGATGTGAATACTCGAATCTGTGGCTGTGCTCGCATGTCCAACCACCCGCAGTAGCGCACATTGCATGCAACATTAAGTCGCAGTATGGCGTGTTCGCCCGCCAGCAAGAACGTGCTTTGTTGAAAGCGGTCCCAACATTCAGGACAAGTGTGCACCCTGGCACCAATTTTGTGGACCAAGCGCGGGTGCAAACTCAAGCCAACGTGTTCAACCTGCAACAAACAAGTGCAAAGCGATGTTGTTTTATCAAACACTTCTCTGGGGCACTTGGTCGGTGCCGGTCTCACAGATCTGGTCACTTGCTATTTTTCAATGCAATCTTCACAAAGTTTTCCAAACCAGCAATCAATTGCTTTGTATCACTCACTCCCCCCTGCGTGACCCACCTGACATGAAGCTTTGCACACGGGCTGCGTCTGCTGGGGCAAGCATGCTCACCTAGGCGTGCGGGTCCGAACAAATGTGAAGGCCAGCAGTGTATGCAAAGCGTGAATCCTCGGCCTGCAGGGAATATTACAAAGTGAAAGATCATCCTCAGATGGACCCGCCATGCTCACCCGAAAAAGGACGGATACATCATGGCAGAGGTGGCGAGATCAGGCACATGTAAATCGCATCAAGTCTTGCATGGTGGGCAGGAGCCCAAAAAAGCAGCACAATAGAAACACGTTGTCACAATAAGGTTGGTTCGCAGTGCTCCTCCTGTTTCCCCTTACCAAGCCAAGCAAAACGGCAAGCAGCTTGGGGAGAACTTCCCCCTGAAACCAGCAATCAACTAACCTCGTCAAGTTCGACATCTTCATGCAAAAGGCATCTCTGACCGCGTCACAACCGACTGGGCACGGCTCAATCATGCCACATGGGCCAAATCAGGAGGTACCATGCGGCAGGAATTCTCTGCAACTTACCATGACGGCTTGCTGGTAGGATTATCTGCGCCATTGAACGACTGGGCTCCCTTCAACATCCATTTGAACAAAGCGACGTGTTCGATGGTGATGGGTGATCTCTTCAGTTCAAACTGACCAAGTCCTCTCTTCAAATGAATCAGCAGCCTTCAGCTGAGTTGTGCAAAGCAAGCTGATGTCGCTGGTTGCAATATCTCCCTTGCAATTGCAAAGGGTATGCTTGAAATTGCTGCTGCCATTGCCCTTCCCGCTAATTTGACCACGGGTTGTTGTCAAAATAATCTGATCCCCTGAGAGCCTCACCACTACAGTATTCATGGCAGTGCCCCGGGGGGGCTTGCCTGTTTTCGAAACGATCAGCGCAGGGATTGTCGTGCAATTGCAAAAAGGAACTAATATCAGTGCCATCGGCAAAGGACATGTCCATTCGTATCACTTCAAGCGGCAGCCGAAAACAAAATTGCTGAGCTAGGAACAGTGTTCCCTATACTTTTCTTCAAAACATCACCTCACCAAGACAAATTCACGTTTATTTGGGCCCAAGAAAGTTCTATTCCAAACATGTTTTAAAACCGCCAAAAGGAAAAATATACGGAACCCAATGGTGAGTGATCACCTTTTTGGTATGCAAAGGAACCCGACCGTTCCAGGAAACCAACCGTGGCGCCCCGTCCGCGTCCCCGTCCCCGTCCAAGCGAAAAGCGCCCGCCTCCTCGGCCTGGACGGCGGCGTCCGCAGGAGCCTCCGGGCCCACCCCGATCTCCACGTCCAGCGGCTGCGAGCATCCCACGGAGGGCGCGGCCTACACGTCAATACTGTGGATGGACGATATCCTGCACCACTTTGAAACAATGGGAAACCATTGTTGGTATTTACAGCGGAATCATCATTCCCAGGGTTTTTGGGTGGTGCAGGATTTTGTCCATCCACAGTAGGGTGTCTAACAAAACGTCACAAAACCGGTGAAATCCGGGCTACATCTTAAAGGGGTCAAAAAATGACCAAACAATTTGTGGAGATGTTCAATTTTGAAACACGACCTGTATTAACAAATTTGGACTTTGTGGACGCGTGAAAACTAGCTGGACGACTGGCTTTCAACGGGTGGTTGGATTGAAGACAAGAATCACACGCGTGCGTATGAGTGCACATATGCAAGATGGTCAGCAAATCGTGTAACCAAAGGCGACCAGAAGCAAACGCACTGACCATGATAGAAAGGCTTCGGGGGCTGCGCACCCTTCGAACGAACATGCCTCGATAACCTACCAACTACCCACAACAAACAGGTCAACCACAAACAAATGTGTGCACATGTATGTGTGTGTGGGTGTGTGCTTATGTTTGCATGCACGAATGGAAGAATTAGCAAACGAACAAGGAAGGAAGGAAGGAAGGAAGGAAGGAAGGAAGGAAGGAAGGAAGGAAGGAAGGAAGGAAGGAAGGAAGGAAGGAAGGAAGGAAGGAAGGAAGGAAGGAAGGAAGGAAGGAAGGAAGGAAGGAAGGAAGGAAGGAAGGAAGGAAGGAAGGTGTGTGTGTGTATGTCTGTATGTAATTATGCATACATGCATGGATGTTTGTGCGTATGTGTTTGTGTATAATATGCGTGTGTGGCTGGCTGGCTGGCTGGCTGGATGGATGGATGGGTGGATGGATGTCGCACGTATGTACAGATAAATGAACCATGTGTATTTACGTACATATATATATATACACTATATATATACGCATTTCCGATATACATGTATTTATACCTGGGCAAATTTCAAAAAAGTCTTACCCCTCGTTACATACGCTATTGAAATTTGCACCTCGCCTAGTTAAATGCAGAGTCCCCTGAGCGTGTCTAGCCTCAGTTTAGGAGCATGCCTGGCCTCACAAACAGGAAGAACAACTTTTGAGCCCTTGGAAGGGAGGGGGCCACCGTAAGCTTTTCCTCTGTCAATGTGCTTTTGGAAGGGAACCTACAGAGTCCCCTGAGCATGTCTCGCGTCAGAAGCAGCAAGAACAAAAGCTTATTCTGGGGAAAGGCCACCCTGAGCCTCTGCAACAAGCCTCGCTATGTGTAGATACGCTTTTGGCCTTGCGACTGCAGCAGGATGTTTGCTCCACGCTAGAGTTGCGCCGCCACGGTAGAGCTCTGCGCACTTGTCTCAACCCTCCGGACACCGTTTACTGATGCCCCGTCAGCCGCGAAGCAATACACCTGAGTGACAGAAAACTGGAAAGTGTTTCCCCCCACCCCCTTCACGTGTGCTCATATCCTTGCCAGCAGGATGCCCTTGCAGTGTCCATGGAATATTCTTAGCTCACAAGGGCTTGTCACTCGCCTCTAAACCCGGCAGTTTGGCAAGGTCTTGAAGAACACCACACTTTTTAAAAGTAAGGCTCCCCGAATTGGACCCAAGGCGCAGCACAGCTGCCGGAGCGGACCCAACCCAAAAGGCAGCCGCTAGAGCGGATGCAAGGCGCAGCCGCCGGAGCGGACCCAAGGCGCAGCCGCCGGAGTGAACCCAAAAGAACAGCAAGCAAAACTTTTGGCCCCCTGCCAAAGTTTTTCTCGAACCTTGTCCTCGGCAATTGCTTCGTCGGTCACGTCGGGCAGCAAAAACATCTGTGTGAGCACCGTTTCCAACTCTCTCTACCAGGCCTCGCCCAGATACGATGATGAGGCCCTTGCAGCGCAGCTTTCCACTATCACTGCCACGTCTGAAACGGCGCGGTGTGACTTAGCTTGTTCCCAACCTGTGTTCACAACTTTTCTCAATTTGTTCCCGCAAGAAAGAGGCCGCAGCATGCCCGCATCAATCGATCAGTGCTGATGATGCGCACCAGCATGCCTTGACATCCTCTGGATCACATTGCGCACCTGCAACCAACCTGCCAGAGCGACGGTCAGCTTCACAAAAACATACCGGTGCTCGCTTCGTACGTGGGTCGATCCCACACACTTTGCTTTCATTCGCCCGAAGCCAAAGGGCTCTCCTTGGTCACATCCTCTGACACCTGCCCGGTCTTTTTGTGAGGTCACATAGCCAAGCAGCAACAGACCAGCCGTATGTTGCAAGCCACCACCACTTTCTCAGTCGTTCCAAGGTAACCTTTGAGGTAATGACTGGAACAATAACCCAATGGAGGAACCATTGACAAGGGAGCATCTGCGCGCAAAGGCGGTCTCTGCGGCAAACTCGTCAAGGATCTCACCAAAGGTAGACGAAAGGTCTTCTTTGCAGACAACGCGCAAGCTTGCTGAGCATAGTGGTGGGGCAAGGGTCACAAGTGCTTTTCTCGTCCAGGAATTACAGGGGCCGCGTCTTCGGTCCTCAGGACCCAATACAACTTTTGGGGCCTCCAAAAGTTTGGTTTACCTCCACTCCAGAGAGCCAAGGGCTTGTTATAGCTTAGTTCTCCCGAAACAACCTCGGCGCTGACCTTGCTAAATATCCCCAAACAGCCTCGGCACCTCGGCTGGGGTTGCTGTAATTTGCCTAGGTTATATGCATAAGTTTGCATACGCGTGTTGCATTTCACGGCGAAGTGATCAATATTCCTTCATCCGCAAAAGGCCATCTTCGCGAGATAAACATCTCTTTCGCAAAACTTGCACGACTCCATCGCCGCGACCTTTTTTGTTTCCAACTGGCTCTGTGGAGTCACGCGTGCTGTTGCAGGAATACTTGCAGGGCCAGTAGCTGCGCCGGCTGACTGCAGCTTTCATTCTGCTGCACAATCAGGCCTGGCAGCACCTGTCCTTGCCGGGGGTCCCTCCTGGGCAATGTGCGGAAACCTTGCAACCAGCTCTGAGGTCTTTCGCCGCTCTTTCGCGAAACTTGCTCCAAAATGGCCCAGCCAAGGCTCAGCTTGTAGGAGCATTCCCACAATGGGCGGGCAATCAAGGATCGAAGTAAAAGCCCTACACATTTCTCTGTCTCCAGGCCAGGCCTGCAAGTATCAATACGAAAGCGTGCAAATATACGGCTATGGGTCAAAACCCCCGTACCCCCAGTGAACATCCCAATCCCGACTAAAATAGACTAAATGGGTGGTGCACCTACCCCAAATGGTACCATTGCCATATCTCTGAAAAGCCACCACGAAATCTTTGCCCAAAAAACCATCATCTTCCCGCGAACTCCATCGCCAAGCTTTCGTGGGCACAAAAACGTCTGTGCCGCGGTCCCCGGTGTACTAAGACTTTTGATCAACTGCCACATAGACACGGCTAACAACTTTAGTATTTAGGATACATGTTCTCAAAGCCGCACGCCTCCCGTGGTAGAAGAATATCAGCAAAGTCAAAGCCTGGCGATGGACGGCGCGCGTCCAGAAATTGACAATGATTTTTCCGAAGCTTCTAAGGAACCAGGAAAGCAAAAGCCGAATATGTCCAAGCCTTGTGTTTGAGGAAGCGAGTGTCTGTGGCATGGCCAATGTCTTTCACACTCCAAAACTCTCCAGAACACCACAAGTACAATGGCAGAGTAATTTCCAAGAGACACAAGCATGCAAAGAAACTGAAACTCTTTGTTACCCAAGAGGAACCCAAGAACATGTATGCAACCACACACACAGAGACACAGAGCGTGCGAAACAACACACCCTACAGTATTCCAGAGAGCAAAACAGTCAACGTTGACATCCTCCCGAAAGGAGTGACAAAGAGTCGATTGTTGCCAAACGATTGTGAAACATGTTTAAGAAGGCGCGCCCTAAACATCAACCCTGTCCAGAATAGCAGAAAGCCTGTCAATGATATCTTGGCGTTGTAGAATATTGGACTGCACACAGTACCCTTGCTATATCTTACTATCAGTGGTTGACCATCCCGAGTAATTAAGCCCTTTTCACCATGACACTGGCAACCGTTGGTCGTTTGGTGTGCCCAAGCAGTCAACCTACTGCTGGCCTTCCATGTCCGCGTCAGAGCCTTGCTGCTCGATGGGCGCCATGGTGACAAAGGGCCGCAAAGCTTTGGCGAGCCCTGGATGACGTACGTGAAATAATATTTGTCATGTTCTCTCTGATGGCTTCACTATTCCTCTGTGGTACTTGTATTGGGTCTTCTACTAATTTGTCAAGGCTGAACCACCCAAATGCAACGCAAGTCAAGGCGGGCTCACAAAGTTACCATCCGTGCCTGCCCCTCTGCTCTGCCGAGTGTTACTTCAGCTTTTGTATCGCAATCTGGCAATCGAGTTTGAACTGCATCACCGCTTCGCTGACATAACGGTGTTGTCCAGTAAAAGTCGTGAGCCCATAGGCAATTGCGCATGGTGTCACTTGAGCCATGTGCTTCAGTCTGCCAGCAATCGCAAGTGGACCGTCAACAAGGAAACAACACACATGCCGTCAGGAGGTTAGCCAGCCTCCCCACGAGTGAGATCGCGCAAGATAGCGGCGAGTCAACGCAGCAACGACTGATCAATGTCATGCAGAGATGGCCCTTTCAGCCCAGTCACAAGTGACCCATGGGGCAAATCTGGTATCTCCTTGAGGTACTTGGCGCGTGAGTCGCTAAGATCCTCGACCACCTGATGGCACGATGATTCGCGAGCTCGCCGAAGGGGCGTGTCTGCGCCATGCGACAGTTCTCTGTTCAGGGGCAAAAAAACAAAACGGGAGACACAACAGAAGCGCTAAACAGTTCTGGCGATGCTGCGAACAAACAGCAAATTCTCAAATTGTTATTCAACTTATCGGCACTGTCTGCAAACTTAAAGAAACAAGCATTGATTCGATGTTGATCACGACACTCGGGCTACCACCGAAAAGCGCTGACCTAAGCAACAACGATCCTCAATGGGTGAACTGTTTGCTTTCATTGTCAAACTGTTCCACCACTGTGGCTCTGAGTATGAGGTACAGTTAGTGATCCACGCTGAAACGGTAAAAATAGCCACCCCCTATCTAGTGACCGCCCGGAGTTCCAACCGATAAAACCGCCAAATGCGGCTTCCCTCACCCACAAACACAAATGCAGGATACACATATAAGCATAGATATATACACAATATAGCATAACCTAACACATAACATTACATAACACAGCATGACATAACACAAGACAACATACACCGGAACCGCAAAAAGTCAATTGCAGGAGCAGATAGGAGCAGCCTGTAGTTCGACTTTGTTGCAAATAGCAAAGAGGAGAAATTGTATATGCAATGTTGTCCTTGTGGGCCGTAAGTCTAGAAGGTGACTTTGCATGCCACACTTTGATCAGCACCATGTGCAAAACTAGACAAGATTTCTGGTCGGTTGCCTTGCCAACAATCCAGGGTATAATTTTCAGCTTGCCTCTAGGATTCCCGTGAAACCTGATGCAGGGATGGTTCCACGTGCCTCTCTTGAACATGACTTCAAGCCCATGTCGCTACAAGGGCATCTCTCATGAGGTAACGTGCAATGGCTCCCCCCCAAGACATCACTTGCAACACAGCAATCCAGACCTTGTGGAGCTTGATCCTGAGCTGCTCTACCTCCATCTTCATGCGAGCCTGCCACAAAGACCAACAGGAAAACCCATCCAATGGGGCAGAAGGGCCCACATTCTGACTTACAGCCACAATGAAGGAACAAGAACTCGTGTTCACTCAGACCTGCTCTTGGGATCTATCCGCATCCGCTCGCGAGGTTTCGCCGGCTCTCGCTCGCACGCTCGCTCGCTCGCTTCGGCCCCATCCTTTGGCATGTGCGAGGTGTCCAGCTCCCAGGCCTAGGGATCTGTCCACCGGAACGGCGGGTTTTCTGCCGCAAATCTCCCACCTTTTCCGGGGTTTTCCGCGGGGCTCCTGGTGCGCAGTTTTCGGAGGGCTTCAGCCACAGAAGTCTCGTTCCAATCATGGAAGTGCACTGGGGATGCAAAAATTGCCTTCATCTTGAAAGGGCCTCTTGCGCGCTTTGATTCTGCGAAAGGGGGAGCACCTTGCCCAATACGCCTTTGTCTTATTTCCTGGCCTGACCTACCGCGCAACCCGGGCAACGCAGTTGTGCCACCTCGACGGATCTTACTATATCTTCTTCACCTTGGCTTGCTGTGACGCATCCTTTGACTCGGAGCTTCCCTCAGGACACCGCGATGCAAAGGCTGCTCCACACCAGTCCCGCGAGCATCGCCAAGACCTGAGACGCCCAACACGGGGAAGGCGACACAGACCGAAGTGGCCCGTCATTCGGCAAATGTCTGGAGCACTGTGCGCCCTGTCTCAGTTCACCGGTCTTGTGCGTACCCAATGGTATGTCTCCGGTACATACATACTATCGCTTGAGGTGCCTCAGCTCCACCTTTCGAACAACTGACGATGGATTCAAAGCAAAAGCGGAGGCCAAATGGGGATGTTTTTGCTTGCCCCTTTTCACTAGTGGTGTTGCTGGAAGATCACGTGCCGCTTTCACAAATAGCATCTATTTTAAAGGAGTTTGTGGAGGACTGCTTGAAGAAGACCTATACAAGGTGCTGCGCAAGAAATGCTTGAGAGGATCTCTGCAAAGAAGTGCTCCACGAAATCTCCACGAATACCTGTAGTCTAAAGTCATCGGGGGATCTTCACATCTGCGCAAGATCCCTTTCCGGGATCCGGGCACTGTACGAGATCTCTTTGCAATATTTGTGCAAGATCTCGTTCGGTCTTCAAAAGATTTCTGCGCAAGATCTTCTAGCGCTTCTAGGTCTAAAAAGTCGATCGTGTCTGACTCGATCTTCACAAATGGTCACAAATATGTTTTAAGGGATCTTCGCACCAGCCCTGCGCAAGATCCCCTTGCAGCATCTTGAGATAATCTCCATATAAGATCTTTCCGTGCGAGATCTTTACAAGATCAATGCAGAATATTCGTGCGGAATCTTGCAAGAGGAGCTCAATGAAAGCGCCTGTGCAGGTCCTTTACAACACCTCTTGGAAGATTTGTGGGGAGGAACTTTACACAGAGTCTGGCAGGCACAAAGTACAAGCATGTACATATATAGCGTTGCGCGAGCAAATTCGAAATGGGCACAGCGGTACAGCGGCACAACGAGCAATCTCACCTGCGCACAGCCCGGAGAAAGTTCGCTTTCAATGCTCAAGAATTGCACGACGCCATAGGAGCCAGTCAAAGTCCGCAAAGGCTCTTGCGAGATTCAGGCTTCGCACCGCGCCACGGCGAGAGAGTCAAAGACAGCCAAAAGGGCGCACAAGGTGCGCTGACACACGGTACAAAATCGCAAAACGCAGTGACACAGCGAGAGCGATTGAACAGCCAAAATTCAAACTGTGCACCGCGCAGCGAGAGCACTCCGACCAACCCCGCAAGGCCGCCAATATGCACCGATCCACCAGATTCAGAGTTGGCGCGGCAGTCACATCGCACACGTAAAACATAACCGAAAGCGCGCGGCCCTCACTTTGCGCGAACCAGCGGAGTTGAAATGCATTTCAGCGCCCTGGAAGCGAGCCCACGCCTCGAAACCCTATCTTAAGCCTATGAGGACCTCGTGGCACAAGGCCTTGCGGGAAATGACACCGAATGCCACAACATAACACCCGTGCGCTCCGATTCAAGCCAAATGACGGGTGCAGAGTTCTTGTTGACAATGAGCTCTTGAACCGCCTTAGTGGCAGCAGAGGAAAATGTTGCTCGAAGGCATTTCGCTGACTCCTCAAGTTGCCTGGACTGGCTCGAGCCTCCTTCGCATTGTGCAAAAAGCGGTCGTAGTAAAGCGACAAGGCTGAGGCTGCGTCTTTGGTGTGGCGGTCCAGCAGGAGGGCAAACCTCCGCAGCTTCAAGGAAGAACATGAAGAACGCTCTTCTTTGGTGCTTTCTTTCAATTTTCGTGATTCGATGAGGGCATCATCTTTAGGCGATGGGGTTGTTGGGCGCTTCCGACGTGCCAATTGACGCAACAAGCATAAATGTTTGTCCCGCAAGTGCCTGAGCCTTGCGCAGGCCATCACCATGCGCCTGTAGCTCAGCCTTTGGGCCCAAAATTCACTCTGCTTAGGTTTCTCCATGTTTCTGTGGCTCAAAAAATGGAATCCCGAAAATGGCACCTTGGTATATGGAAGCCAAGAATATAACCAGCGGCTTGCCAGCGCTTAATTTTGAGACACCATATTTAGCGAACCTATAAATGAATGAAAGTTCCTTTTGACAAGTCCCAGCCTCCCCCAAAAAAACAACAACAAAAAAAAACGCGACAAGTTGGCCACCAAGGGTCGCATTTCTTTGGTACCAGTTTTTGGGACTTTTGAAGGAGAAAATAAAGCAAGACCAAAACCAAAAGGAGCCCACCCATTCTTAACACCGGACCTTTCACACAGGACAGAAACAAATTGCTATTGAGTGTCCCCATTCTTGCGGTTCCCCCGACTTTCTGTGATTCTTGTTCAACAAAACGAAAGACACACCTTAAAAGGAACCGCGAATTTTCTTGCGGTTCGGTTCAAACCTATATCACCACAGATTCGCTTCGATTCGGTCACCCGGGGAGCGGATTCGGGATTCGGGTAGGCCTCTCGTCCCCCTCCACCATCTTCCGGAGCTCCACGAGCTCCCGGGCCCGCAGCTGGCGGTCGCTCGCTTGGGGTCTGTGTTGCTTGGGCTGGGCGCAAGGGGAGGAAACCAGCAAGACCATAGGTGTCCTTTTTCGTAAATCGATGGCCCTGTTAGATTATTGAACCACCAGGTAAAGCAGGGCCCTCCATTTTTCAGCCAAACCAACCAAAAAGGACACCTATGAGCAAGACAGTGCCACACTGAGGTTTGTCAATGGCCAACCGATGGGAAACATGGCGTCTCTCTGACACCTACCTATTGGCAGGGCCCACCCCTGTGTTGTACATGTCCCGCTTCGAAACATGGCCTGGGCAAAGTGGCCCAAAGCCAAAGGCCTGTACTTTTCCAATGGGGGGGGTCACCACCTTCTGCATCTTGTTCTAAATTACGGATGTTGAGAAAGCTACATGGCGACATATGTGAACTCGACGGGTATGAAATGTGTCCTCAAAGGGAATCATGCCCACGGACTTACGTAAGGTTTTGCCGCACAAACGAGCCTCCAAAAGGACTTTGGAAACATATCCTTTGGGTTCCCCTGTGGTTCTTAGCTTCAACAAGCACAATCACAAAGATTTGCATCAATGGCCAACTGAGTTGGCAACTCCCAAGTGAGTTGCAAACGCAGTACCCTTAAGGCCTCGAGTGAGAGGTGGGAAAGCATTAGCATGCCTCAAAGCAGTCAAAGCAGTCATGCCGAACAGAACAGGCTTGTCAACCTCTGTGATTGTTTGAGGGAGGATGCTTTAGAAAGCTCTAGTCATGGAACCTCCATCTCCATCACCCAAACAGGCCTTTAATTGTCATATTGGTTGATTTCTAGTTCTCCTCAAGCTGTGTCTTTGTGGGTGGAGGTCCCCACATGGTTGAAGGCTTCGATTGACGTCGACCCTGCTATATCATCACTTGTACTACGCGGGAACTAGGAACCCTCCCACCAACCCCAAAACGTTCCCTCGTTGCTGGGTGCCCCCGTTGAAACATTGGAAAACCACGCGCAGCGTTGGAAGCTGTCTGACAAAGAACCTGGCTCAGCTGCGAGTCAAACAGATGGCCATCCTGGCCAATGCCACGATTCATAATTATGCAACGCCCACGGCACCTTGTAAGGGCAGCATTCCCGCAAACCAAGTGCCAATGCTTCATCTCGACAAGCCAGGAACGTTGCAATGTCAATGCGTCAGAAACATGTGCTGCAAGAAACACGTTCTCGGCAAGGGCCTCTTTTGGTGGAGATTAATTCACACCTGAAGCGCTGCAAGCAATCAAAGGGTCAAAGAGGGCCTAAATTCCCGGCGCACAAGTAACCATCGCCTGTCGAGCGGTCGAGCGAGCTCTTCTCATTTGCCCCTTCCCAGTCTGTCTCCCGTCGGTCCGCCTGACCCTTGAGCCGTAGCGTGGGGTGGCTCCGCACATCTCCAGGGTTCGCCTTCGGGAGTTGACTGGGCTGAGGCTCACGTTTCCAAAGACCCGGACATGGGGAACTGCGACCAAAAATGCCAAACCTCGGCGCATCAAACTTGCGCCAAAAGCTTTAAACCGCTTGGGACGAGTAGAAACATGAGATGAGGACGGCAGGACCTGCTTGAAGGAACAAGACAAATATCGTCAAGCATCTTTGCTAAATCGGATCTGCAAATTATGAGCAGTTCCAAGGTGCTTCATGAACTTGAAATGTTGGACGACACACATGGTTCTGCACAGATCAGAATGGAACAAAGCCGCACTGCACGTCCTCAATCAAGGCCATCGCATAGCAAGATCCAAGAAGGCTCCATGAATGCACTGCAGGTAGCTGAGCACAACAACATTCCAAACAAATACTTAGCACCGCCAACCTGCCTTGTCGAAATCTTGGAACTTGGCCTTCTTTGCCGTGACCAGTGCAGCATCATTGCTGTCAACGCTGGCCACCTGCACAAGCATCCAGGTCAGTTGGTCGACCACCAAAACATCGCCAACCGCTACCGTCCCCCAGGGATATAACCTGCTAATTATCTTACCATGTCTGTTCTGTTTAGCATGCAAAGCAACATGATTTGTGCAACACCGTGTATGTACCTCAGGCAAACACGTCCGTGAACAAAGTGCAACCTCGTAGATCAACAAGGGCGAATGTGACCATGTCGGATTACTGCCCCCATAGCAGTAGACTGCTTCACATGCAAAAAGCTGAACCTGGCAATGCTCTCTCTCCTACCACTTCGCGCTGCACGTCCCAATGACACGACGCTCAACGATGCCTCAAGGATTTCAATGCTGGAGTTGGACGCCTGGCAACATGCTCCTTGATGATCCCGGATCCGTCGACAAGCATGTGAAAAACTGAAGCCACGCATATTAGGCAAGCTAATGAGCAAGCTAATCCACTGCAGCTTCCATTGCCACGCTTGCTATCGCGGCATCAGCTGAATCTATCAAGGCAGCACTGACAACTGCCCACGGCAAATTTGTCATTGAGTCGGATGCTGATTCAACTTGCAAAGTCGGCCTTGCACACCCCCAACCGAATGAAGCCCTTGTTGATGTTGGTCACCCTCAAGTCCATTGTGGCGCGAACCAGGGCCAGTCGCTTCCCAAAAAGTAACATGCACCAAGGAATGCTGGCAGCTCACCCCGAGCTGTGCCATCCCGACAAGAACGTGCTTTGAACTTTGCCTCCCCGCCTCCCACCTCCCAGTCTGATACCCGATTTTGCTTCTAGCGCCGGAAGACCCCAACTGAGGAACAATCTCAAAGCTAGTCCCGTCACAGAAAAGCTCCCTTTAAGCATACTCTTCACCCCAAAAGACCGACCCAACCTGCAACTGCACTTACATTAGTGACCTGCCTGAACCCCAGCCTCAACTCTCCTTAACTTACCTCCGTGCGAGTTGGGTTGTCTCCCACCACTGTCTTCATGCGACGGTGACAACTGGGACCAGTGTGATGTTGATCTCCTGGCAGAGCCACTAGCTTGTTGCCGCCGACACCCTACTCACTTCAAGATCGCGGAACATAATATGTAAGTTATCATCATAGTTATGCCACTTCAAGGCCATGCCTTGTGCACTTTTCAATGATAAGCTCCTGCTCTTTTTCATTAATAAGCTCGCGGAAGACAGCGAGGCCGCATACCCAGTCTCTTGCAAAAGCGCCAGGCAGCTTGTGCTTTACAACATGTGCAATCACCACACAAGCACTTCTGGGACAACATAGCTCTGAAGCCAATTGCATGTCCTCAATGCGTTGCTAAACCACAGAACAAGCTGCAGCGCAAATGCCCTTCCGCATTCACAAAAGATGCCCTCACGTGATCTCTCAACCGTTCAAACGACCCGCGGTGCTTTGCCGCGCTCAAGAGAAGATCAACAGAAGAATGAGAGCCAGGATAAGGCTCCAAACGATCAGAGGCGCAGGATCAAAGACCCTACTTGAGGCGGGCGCATCCTCAGACTTGCCGTGGCTGATGCCACAGCCTTGGCGGAAGTAGCGGTACACAGCTCCTGCCGAGAGGAAGCAAAAGCCTGCTTAAATGGCTTCGGCCGGACAAAGCGACATCAGGCACATTGTATAGTTGCAACCCAAAAAACTACAGTTCAAGATTCCGTTCCCGCAACGCAAGGAGTTGTTGCTTATCTTGTATTTCTGCATGTGTTGTGTTGATGGCATGTCTCCTTGGTCGAGCAACTGATAGCAAAAGGGAGGCAGTAAAGTGAACTAGTTCATGCATCGACTGTGTATGTGCAAGTGTCTCATCAACACACCGCAATTTGGGGTGCGAATCGTCTCACTGGCCACAGGCCATGTCAGTCGAGACCTAGGGAGGACCTCGCAAGTGCTTTTTTAGAGCCACACACTCTGAGTGAGTCAACACGATGATGGAGTTGTGTAGTCAGGATTGTTCATGACAGTCTTGCTACCGTCAAACCTGTGTCACGTGGCCAGTCTAATGCCTTGTTTACCAGGTCGGTGTCCTTCTCTCAAAGGCTCGCAGCGGAAACCCACGTGGTGGTCAGGTCTCACCAGGAAGAGGCACTGTCCATGCACCCCGAAGGTGTGGTTGGCCTGGCAAGCTTGGAAAGCACCGTGTGATGCTTGGAAAGCAGCTTCAGTCAGCGGTACGAGACTCACCATGAAAGAAATTCACGCATTTTGCAAGTTGAACCGTGCTCAAAGCCAACCTAAGCCGGAAACAAAACCAAAGCGACTCTTCACACTCAACCGTGAGACATATGCTGCTCCCCTGCCTCCAGATTCGCAGCTGGTATGCACACAACCTCGGCAAACTAAAACATCTCGAAAGGTTGACCCAAGCACCCTGCTCAGTGTTACTGAGACATGCCAAAGTTGGTTCTCTTTGAATAGCATTGTGAAGCTTAGCTTGAAGGCAGCACTGGATGACCATATTGACAAACAAGCATGAACATAAATTAAACTGTTTGTGAAGAGAAAGATCAAATCATAATATTCACAAGCAAAGCAAGCGTCCGTCCAAAGGCTTGACTTGTCAATCTGGTGCAGGGTCTTTTCTTTGAAGGAAGAGTTTCAAGCGCGGACTGCACTGGCTTGGTGCGAGTGACCAGCAAAGTTGGCTTTGTCGCTTCTTGGAGTCTCCTTGACAATGAAACAATTCGGGCAATTACTTCTCAGCAAATTGCGTATGTCTCAAACCGCAAATGAATATTTCAATCGGACGGCGACCGCCATAATATTGGGTAAGTCCCTGCGCCAAGCTTGAGCAGATTGCAGGAACCTTCGACAAGAGGTAGCCCAGTTGCAACCACACAGTCACAGGGTGCTTTGTTGGGGGCCATGGATCACCGGCTGATCGAATCAAAGACCTCCGGCAAATTTGGGTAACTGGAATCGCTAGCAAGGAAAACGCAAGCGATTCAGTCATCGAAAAATCTGCGGTACCCTCTCTCCCACTAGCATAGCACCTCACAGGGGTCTTCTTGCCAAAGGAAACGAATGATCCAGGCCATTTCCCTCCCTCCGTGTACGCCTGGCGCCTGGCGTTTTCGCGATGGAAACCCGGGGCCTCATCCACCATGGCCACGAAGTTGGTGCCGTCTGCCTGCCCCTTGAAGCGCTCTCCGAAGGCCTCCGCCGGCCCGCGCGTGGCTGCGTGGCTGCTGAGTCTGCGAATCACAGGTCTCAAGTCGCATCGCTTGCGGCAACTTGGAAACTGGGAAGCTGAAAAGGCGACCATTGACCTGCAACCCGAAGCAAGCCCTCATGCAACTCCAAATCATTCTGAGACCAGCCCCTTAACCCTGAACTAATTAGATCGATCCGAAAGCCTGTTCCGAACGCTTATCACCCCCGGATCCTCACATAAATCAGCCACCCATGGACCAACTCTAAAGTCAAGCAGCCCTAACCCATCCCAACCCAAAACCCTGAACCCACGCCATGATCACACCCTACAACCCGAAACCGACCTCCAACCACCCCGGCCCTTGACAGACCTGCAAACAACCCGGGCCAACCCTAAACCAACCCTTGGCTAATCTCAACCCCGGTACTTCCGGCAATTTGCGCGTATTTTGTTCGCCCCAGAATCCTCAAATGCAAGTTGCTTCATGACAAGCACTACACACGTACAGGAACATATATCCCTGCCAGAATGATCCTTTGTCCTTGTGCAAACCTTGGGCCAGCCTTGCGCCAAACTCGCGCGAGGTAGGCTTTGAGCTAAAGGGAAACGCCTCCCTACTGAGTCAAGCACGCCATGAGGTGTCCCGGGGCTGCCTGCAGATCCTCAAAGGACAGCACCTTGTGGCGAAGGAACTTCTCCATGTCCTCGTTGTGCACCACAGAACCTTGCAGCAGAAAGAAGCGTCGCTTGCTAATGAATCGCTTGGCACTGCCGGAGCTTACCATGGACAGCCAAGACCTAAGTGGCCAGTCTGCATAATTACCTCTCACGCACACAACACATTAATAAGTTAATAAGACATTCAAAGTTGAAGAGTCGTAATTGACCCTGAGACACGCTCCACGCCCCGCGCTCTGGCTTAGCCTTTTCGGATGCAGCACTTTCCCAGTGAACCGGCCTTCAAAGAGCAGAAGCGTCCATCCCCGGGACTTCTTGAGCACTTGGTGCAGGTGCCTTCCGCCAGGCAGAAGAAGGTCCTCGTTGGGACGGGTCCAACCGCCCAAACATCCCAAGGGCGGCTATGAACACTTTGAACAAGCTAAACGGCAGACTTCGGCGCCTGGAGCTAAACCCAAAGAGGGACAAAGACGGCACCAGGCGAGTGTCAACTCGTCTTCCTCACGATGTGCGCTGTAACAGTGGCCACCATTGCCCCGTTTGCCCATTTTGAGATGGCTTCAAAGAAAAGCCAAAGCAACCATGGCCATTTTGGTGGGGCCGTCATATTGAGACAGACCCCCAACAAAGTGAAGTGGATCAGAGCAAGGGACTCGAACTTGTGGTCTGCTGGCCGTGCACTTATCGGGGCTTATCGGCTACTTGCAGCCAACGAGCCGGCACGCGGTCACCAGCGTGAACCCTGGCCGGAATGCAGATCTGAGATGCAAAACGAGGCTCACACCTTGAGTCATTTTGGCGAGAACCTGTGGTGCCCCCACAACTTCCTGCAGTTGCAATCTGCTCCTGATCAACCGTAATGCCTGGGCATGGTCGCAAAATGCTGCTTGAACATCCCGGTCGTTGCTCGCCAGTCTTTGTTCATACCATGTTGCATTTCGCCTCAAGTTTTAAGAAATGTTAACCCTCAAGGAGTGCGTCCCGCGCTTAGTCATTCTAACACCTCAAGACAATCACTTCGCATGCAGGTGCAAGGGATTCCTCTTCCGGCAAGCCTTGATACTCTCCCAACATCTCTTTCACTAGGGCTTGAGCGGGTGCTTCTCACGCAGGCGCGCATACAGCGCCTGGAATCAATGCACCATGCCAGAGATGGGTGCTCAACACGTGGGCTTTACACTCATGGTTTCCAACCTGACCGCGACCAAAATCTTTCTTCAGACCCCCCCCCCCCGTTTGGGTCACATAAAAAGACCCTTCCCGCAGCCGCCCTTCGGCTCTCTAGAGCGCGCCTGGTCGCCAGCCACCGGTGGAGATTTTGCCGGCGCCGGTAGCCCCCAAATGGGCAAATGGTGCAGGGCGAGCACCTCAGGTCTGAAATTCGAATGGGTCCCGGACCCTTTGCTGGACATTTGGGGACCCCCCCCCAAAAAAATGGGTGCCTCAAACAAGATGCAAGTAGCCTGCAAATGAGGCAAGTTCGTCCAACTTCGAGCTGGTCGACGCCTCACG